ATTCTATTCTATTCTATTCTATTCTATTCTATTCTATTCTATTCTATTCTATTCTATTCTATTCTATTCTGTCTTGAGATGCTGACGGTTGAACTTCAATTTTTGTCCATGCAATGTTTGGCCTTTTGTCCTGCTGATAATAAAGTCCACCACACCTGCAAACCACAGAATGAAGAATGCTGTTCTGTTTACCACTGATATCAGAAGTCTCCGACTTTATTCTTAACACCAGTCCTCGGGAACTATCTCTCATGACTAAAAGAAAACAATTGCAACCCTCTGGTTCATACCACTGGTTTCTGAAGCAAAAGTAAGACATCTACTAGTTCAAAGATGGAGCCTAGCAATCTACAGTATTCAAATCTAGAGAAAGCAAGAATGCTTCAGTTGTAGCATTTGGTACCTTTGCTGTACCTGTAAGCAGATCCTCCTATGTTTAGGAAAATACACGTTGGAATTCAGGAGACAATAACAGGGAATGACATGTGATTGCATTGTGTCATGCCTCCATAAGATCTTTGAACACACACACACACATACCTGTGCCAGTCCAGAAAAAGGTGTGGCTTCTTTGAGGAGTTGCCAACACTTTTCCAGCACGTTTTCGAACCAAACACCGCACGCGCTATTTAAAGGTCAGGGCAATGGTTTAGATTGAGTCTCCAAAACTTTCTATACATCATTTGGACATTGACTTGTATTCAACAGTTTAAAGCCTAAGTGCCTCTTTTCAAGGTGCAGCCACTTTGTTAGAGAAAGGCACTTCATATATACCCCAAGAGAGAATGTGAAAGCACAACACAACTCTACTAGCTAATAAACAAAATTCTGCTACCACATCTGCCAGCCATGGTTTGAAAAGCTTGAAAGCAACATGTACAGGTAAATCTTGACTTATGACCACAACTAAGCCCAAAATTTGCACTGCTAATCAAGACAGTTGTTAAATGAGTTTTGCCCCATTTCTTGCCAGAGTTGTTAAATGAACCACTGCAGTTAAGTTACTAACATTGTTGTTAAGTGAATATGGCTTCCCCATTGACTTTGACTGTTAGAAAGTCACAAGGAGGGGATCACAAGACCCCAGGACACTGAAAACATCATAAACACTTATCAAGTTTCTGAATTGTGATCACGTGACCATGGGGATGTTGTAAAAGTTGTGTGAAAAATGGTCACAAGTTACTTTTTCAGTGTTGTTGTAACTTCAAATGAATAAATTAATGGTTGTAAGTTGAGGGTACTACAAATTATAACGGAAGACATGTTTCAGGGGGAGCAAACAAATAACGCATAGTTCGCTTCTCCCAGCAGTCAAGCTTAAGAAACAAACACTCAGAACCCCACTAATTCTACAACAAATGAAACTTTCGCAAAAGTAAACAGCCCACTCAAGAGCTCTATTTATTCACCAGTCCCAAGGACACTATTTAAAAGAATTTCACTTATTCACACTTCTAGCCACATCTTCCAAAAAGAAAACCTCCTTAATATTAACCTAGGGGAAAGCAAGTCACAGCAACCAGGAGCATCTGGCTGACCTTGACTGATTTGATCCAATTAGTCCTTGGATAGGACACCACCAGGAAATCCTTCAGCTGTTAAGGAGACTGGCAAATCAAGCCCAGACCTTAGGAGAAGGTGAATGACAAACAATTTCCATACCGTTGCCCAGAAAACTACCTTGATGCCTACCTATAATTATCGCAAGTTTGGGTCAAATCAGGGCACAAAAGCAAGGAAACGATTTCCTCTATTGATGAAAGGATACCACAGAATGAGGGAGAGATGAAAGGAGCAGCAATCCTTTCAAGGACAGAAAGTTGCTTGCTCAAAGGACAGAGACAAGATTTTGTCCCTCGATATTTTTGGGGGGGAGGGGGCGGGTGGCAGTGGAGGAACAACAACCAAGAGAAGGAAGGTTACCGGTGGAGAATAAAATGAGTTGAAAAGAGGACCGCCAAAACTACCATTTTCTCCCGAGGAATCCCTGCAACTTGCTGCTGCTCGGCCTCCATTCCTTCCAGCAAAGGCATTCAGGATTTGGGGAGGGTAGAAAGGTCCTCCTGTCCATGGGGCGGGGGCGGGGGGGGGGGGGGCTGGCTTGCATCCTTACCATTTATATTGACTGTTTTCTAGTAGGACTTGATTGCTTATTGTATCCTATGTCTATTATTAAGTGTTGGGCCTTATGATTCTTGACTCTGGAGGAATGAATCTTTTCTCTTTATGTACTCTGAGAGCATTTGCACCCAGACAAATTCCTTGTGTGTCCACACTTGGCCAATAAAAAATTCTGTTTTGTTCTGTTCTCTCTTCCTATTCCTAGTTTTAATTCTAATTCTTATTCTATTGTATGAAGACACCAGATTAGGGAGTGTGCTAAACAGGAGCCAGGGAACCTGAGAAACTTGAGAGGATCCTAAGTGGCAGCTATGAACAAGCCCCAGAGGGGGAAAAAAGGTGCCCCCAAAAACGGTCACGGGAACTCCCTCCCAAAAATTTTTTTAAAAAAGATTACAGCAATTTCTTGGACGGGGCGGAGGTGGGTTGGGGAAGGGGCGGCTTTCCAAAGTCCAACTCTCTCCAAGCAGGGAGCCCCCCCCCCCAAAAAAAGGAAGGACTGGGTCCAGTTTGGAGCAAAAGGAGACGCGAGGCGGGACGGAGGGGGAAAGTCGAGGCTCCTTTCTCCATTTACTCCCCGATGGAGAGTGGGGGGGGGTGCGGGGGAGGTGGCCGAGGCCCAAGCGACGGCGAAGGGAGCGAAGCTGGAAGGGAGAGGCAGGACGCGGTGCGGGGAAAGGGCTCCGCGCTTCTCCGTCTGGGCTACTAGGAGGAGGAGGAGGAGGAAGGAGGCGGGCGGGCGGGCGGCAAGGCAGGGCGGGCGGGGGGGGATGGCGGGACGGCTTTGTTCCTCACCCTGCACGGAATTCGGACCAAACTTTCATCCACGCTGCCAAGCCGGCGATGCCCTCGCTCAGCTCCCTTCTTCCACCGTCGCGATGCCCGGAGCCTCGTTGCCGCAGCTTCTCCGGATTGCGCCACCGCTTTTCCGACAAACGCGCGGGCGCTTCGCTTCACCGCCAGCCCAAGAAAGAGCCCTCGGCGGGGCGGGCAGCACCAGCGGCGGCAGCAGCAGCAGCAGCAGGTGCTTGTTGGGCCGCCAGGCACCCCCCCCCCCCCCCTCCCCCCACCCTCCTCAGCGCCCCAGCCAAGGCCGGTGACGAGAGGCCTGCGCAGCCGCCGCGGCCGTCACCGCTCTCGCCTTCCTTCAATCGCCGGCGCCGGCTGCCTCCGAGGCGCGCAAAGGGGCCGGCCTCCGACGCTCTCAGCTCCGCCTGTTTCCATCTGATTGGCAAAGGCTCCGAGCCGGGAGCAGTCCGGGAGTCCCGGTGAGGTGGGAGGGGAGGGGAGACGGTTCTTTGGTCCGGCGGCCGTCAGGGGGTTCTCTGAGGCCCGGCGGGCGGGCTTCGTTTTGCCGCGCTCCCTTCAGGAGGTGGACGCGGAGGAAGGAAGGGTTAAAGAATCGCGATTCGGCCGAGCTCTTCGACGGGTTAATCCAGAATAAAATTATTTGCGTAGGAATAAAAATACATCGAAAGCATTTCACGCAGGCCGATTCAATGGGGACTAGTAGCGCAGAATTTGTTGCCCTCGCTGGTCTTGAAGTAAACTCCCCGGAGGACCCCACCGTCTTCTGAACAGAATTGGTTTGTTAGCAACGTTTTGTTTTCGTTTTATTAACTTTAACATGAGGCTTCCTCCCGGCCTCCCATTCAAGTACAGGTAGTCCCAGACTGAACAACAATTTGTTTAGTGACGGTTCAAAGTTACACTGAAAAAAAAAAAGTGACCATTATTCGCACTTATGGCTGTTGTAATATCACGTGATTTACATTCGGATGCTTGGCAATTGACTCACCTGTATGACAGTGGCGGTGTCCCAGAGTCATGTGGTCCCTTCTTGACACCTTCTGTCAAGCAAAGTCAACTGCATTTGTAATTTGACAAGGGCAAATGTGGCAAAACTCACTTCAGAAATTTATCACTTCACAACATAAATTTGGGGGTCAATTGTGGTCGTAAGTTGAGGACTACCTGTATTTGCTAGGTCCTGTCTTGTTTAGGTTTTTTTTTTCCCCCATTCATTGTCTAAATGTTAACACTGGAGATCAAACCAATTTCACAATGTAGCAATGGCACGGTGTATCATTTTAAGATTTAATATGAAGTGTGAAAATAACATGCGGTATGTAGGTTGGAGAAAAACAGCTATCGTAGGCCAATCCTGGAGGAGCAGCTAGAATGGAACATTGAATATGATTTCTATGTATTTCTTTTGTTTGCAGAAGGAGCACCTACAAGCATAGCTTTCTGATACAAGTCATCATGAAGTCATTGCACAAATGATGTACAGGAAGTCCTAATTCTCAACCCAACCTTCATTGTTTTGTCAAGTGAGCAGTAAGCTTCTTCTTAGTGTTCCAGGTAAGTGCGGTCTTACCTGCGCATGAAAGCTTTATGATCTTTTCTGTTAACCAAGAAGATTTTCAAAGATCTCCCATAGGAAGTTAATGTTGATTCTCAAATGCAGGTTATTCTATTGTGCACTCTAGAGAGCATCTAACTCCTTTGTAAATTTCTTACACAGTAGTTATACTGAGTAATTGAATCACCTTTGTTACAAATTGTTTGCCTTAGCAATCAGCTCTTTTCGATAAAGTCCCCAAAGCAACTTATTTATCAACAATTTCAGAACCCCAAATTCTTTATATTCATATACATGTGAGAAACCATTATTACTGATTCACTTCCTGCTTTTCTGTTGCTGTTCTATTTTTTTTGGTTCTGTTTTTTTTAAAATATATGAGGCATTTTTTAAAAACCATAGCAGTTAAAGCATGGGACTAGAAACAGACTGTGAGTTGTAATCTTACCTTAGGCACAAAGACAGCTGGATGACCTTGTACCAGCCCTAGGAAGAAGTCAGTGTCAATCATTTCTGAAAACCTTACCAAGAAAATGTGTCCAGGCATTGTCCAAAAGTCAGATATGATTGAATAAAAGAATATATATTCTGAGAGCTAAGATACTGTGCGGAAATCTTAAACTCCCAGGCCTCTGGTAGAGGACTGAGAATAAGGAAGGTAATACCATTAACACACACACACACGCGCACACACACACATACACCAGTATATAGACATGTATATGTACAGGTATATATGTATGAAAAACCATTATTGCTCATACCACATGTACATGTATATATACAGTATATGTATATATAATATAAGTATAAACTTTATATATAAACTATATCATCAGCCTGATCCTATACTAAGTTCCATTGAGTTCAATAGGCATAGTGCCCATTAATTTAGGATTTCACTAGATACCTTAGATTTATCACTTACGCAGTACAAATAGTCTAGGTAAATCATACCTCATCATTTCAAACCAGCTTTAGCAGCCATTCCCTGGTTCTGCTTCTCAGCTGAAGTGATGTATGTTTCAGTGCCTTCATGAACGATCATGGGTAGTTATTTTATATTTTTGGAACTTGGTAGAGAGGTGTGTATATGCATTCACATGATGATGAGTCAGATGTTCTTCGCTCTGGGAAACTCTTGGGCGCCCTGCTATCAAAACCTTGTATCCTTTCTTCACGTCAAATGCATCTGTTATGAATCAAGGACTGGGATACTATCCTTGTTAATGTGTCAGCTGTTCATCTAGGGAAGAAAAGACACAATATTGTCTTTTTGTCTCATTTAGAACTATGTTACCCCTCTTTAAGAAAAAAGGGGTATTCTAAAGAGCTATACAAAGTGCAAGAAGAAAATAATTCAAAATATGTTGTGATATATTTTTGTCTTTCAGGTAATTACCCATCAAAGAGAACTCTGCAATGGAGAAAATCAACCAACAGTATTTTTTTTTTTTACTGAAGCTTCTATTTGTTCTATATAGACTGATGAAACCCACTTTTATTAAAGCGGTCCAACCTTAAGACACGTGATTAAGCATTCTGAGTCTTTATTGCAGGCTCTTAGCTTCTTTGATGGTTAGTTTCTTAGCCGTTCTTCACCTGACTTCCTTCTCATATTTCACTAAAGCTGCCCTTAGTGTAAGAATCTGGCACGGAGGAAAAACTACCCACATCCTTTGCTTTTATTCTAGTGACGTACAGGAAAAGGACACCTTTGCATTCTGGTGTATGTACACACATACATACACATACCCCACTACAAATATACAGTGGGGAGGAAGATAACTATTTCCTGTGCTAACTGATTAGAATCATACAATCGTGGGAATGGAAGGGTACCTTGGAGGGCTTCTAAGGCCCCCAACCTTTTGAGCACCAGGAACCGGTTTCAAGGAGAGAGGTTTTTCCACAAATCGGAGAGGGCATGGTTTTATGTGCCCGTTTGTTTCCACGGCCTGGTTTCTGGCATGCTGCTGATCGGTGCCAGTCCACAGACTGGAGGTGGGGAGGGGTTGGAGACCCCTGTTCTAATCCAACTCTCTACCCTCCCTGACAAATGGATTGAGCGCCCACAACTCCAGGAGACAAGCCATTCCACTGATTAATTGTTCTGTCAGGAAATGTCTCCTTTACATCCAGGTTCCCTCTCTCTCTCTAACAAGCTTCCACTTGTTGCTTCTTATGAATGTGTGGTTGACATTTGGGCTTTGTTACACAATGTCAGTGCCAGCTTGACTTTTTGACACCTCCTGATGAACTGGGAGCTTATTTTACATGAAAAGAAGAAGTGGTTCACAAAATAGGCCAGAACTAGAAGAGTAGTATAGATGTGGTGTTGTGATATAGGGCCTGCCTGTTTTGTAGTGAGTATACAGCATGCATATGAAAGAGAGAGAGTTTCTGTTGCAATATTACAACCTCCATTTCAACTCCATCCATCACAGATGACTCTGCTCTAAAGGCTACGGATGAACAATCAACAGGTCTACTGTAATTGGTATGAAAGCAGCTCCACAGCACAAGATGATGTGACCTTCAAACATCAGCTCCTGGCTATCACCCGGTTCATAATTTACACCAAGCCATGCTACTTTTAATCATGCATTACTGAATAAATACCACAGTGACTGGATTGGTGTAGTGCTAACAATATTATTACGTAGCACTATGCATGAACATACTGAATTTGCTACTGTATAGTCAAAATATGGTCAACAACTAGCCTGTCTCCCACTTAGTTATGTGACTGGAGTCCATTTTAATGATGGACAGAGGTAGAGCTGAATTGGAAGCAAAAAGCCAACGGTGCAATCTTATCTCTTGACTTTGTCAGGTTTCGAGATTGTGTCCACAGTGTAGAAGTGCCAAACTGATTTTTTTTTTTTTTAGCTCGGGGCACTGTGGGGTCAGGCATATCAGATAAAAGAATGGGGAAAGGGGGAGGTGGACCGGTAACCTTAGAATTATAAACATGGATGGGGCCAGGTTCTTTCAGGAATCCAAACAAACAGCTAAGGGATACTGCCTGGAGTATACTGAGTATGTTTCCTGAAGTTTTGGAAGAATCAGTCAATTTGTTTCAGAATATGCTGGTGGTAAATGCAAAAGTACAGGATATATTACTATTGCGGAAGTTTGGCAGTCTTAGTATACTCATAAAAAAATAAAACCAACTAAGATTGTGTTCCATAATTCTAATTAACCAAAACAACAACAAAAAACAAGTAATAAAAATGCAATGATATGTTATGATATGACATACATATTACACGTACACAGACAGACAGACAGAAAGAGAGACAGACAGGTTTCTCAAGCATATATAGATTAATGTGTAACATAATATGTTTGAGTAAAAGATTACCATAGTCATTGTAAACTTCCATACATCATCTGTATCTTTCTTGCAAATAACCTCAAGTAATCCAGTGGGAATTGGGCCATAAATTTGTCAGTCCGATATTGAAGAACTATAAATCTCTTGGCTGTAACAAGAACAGAGAGAAATTTCATTTTCATTGTTTAGCTATCACTTTCCATATAATAGGTATATAATTCAAAATAATGTCTGCATCTGAGAATGTTAACCTTTGTCTTAAAGAGAAATTAATGTATGCAATTGCCTCTTTCCAGAACATTGTGAGAGAGCTACGTCACTGTGACTTTAAGATGTGTGG